CAAACAACCAAAACACAAAACCAGCTGCAGATACTCTTTGACCCAGGTCTGGTGTGTATATATGCAGTCTTGATACTTTGACATATACTAATAATTTACTTTGTGCAGAGGTTGAGAAGTTTTTGGTGATAAATTACGTGAAAAAAGTCACTTCGGCCTGCCTGTTAGCTTGTCTGTATATGTACTGCATTTGGGTTTGTGAATCTGTGTGCGTGTGTCCTAAGTCTTCATTGCCGCCAGGACTTGCGACTGAGCACGCACACACAGGCCACGTTAATGCGTATGTGCCTCCATGCCACCAGGTTCTGGAATGAAGTCAGCGCTCGCACAAAAGTGTGTGAATTAGTACAGTAGGAGTTCCAGTGTCTCGCATCAATTCCTAAACAGCCTGAGCTGCCTGATCGAGGGCTATGACATGTCGTCTCGAAGAAGTACTGCTTCATGTTGACATTGTTGATTTTCACGTCTGGGAGGACTGTCACCTCTCTGCCTAGGGTGTCCGTGGCTTTGGTCTTGTTGACCACCCAGACACTAATACTCTCACATACTGAGTACATCCCGCGGTGTTGAGGCTGCCCTGCTTGCCTTCGGGTCCTTCTGCCAGCACCCTGTGACCCCGATGGCTCTGCATCAGGGGGCTGAGAGCTAAAAAGCACTCTGGGTGAGAGGTAGTGGCGCTTGGTGAAGAGTTTGGGATCGACAACCGGGATAGAGTCTGGGTTGTCACTTGGAGTGTTTTCCTGTGCCGCTGTGGTGGTGGTGTACAAGTCCCCTCTGGTTGCGGCCACAGCCTGGGCACTTAAGAAGAGGAACAGGACCAGCATGGACGACCTCATGGGCACACGACCTGAGGGTGTCAATAAGAACGAAAAACGCATGGATGTTTTGACAGCGGATATGAAACATCACATATGAAACATAGACTTCTTCAGCAGACATGAAGTAACATCAACATTAATATGTATAGGATGTTTCCAAGTGATAGTCCCTTTCTCTTGTTTTCTTTTTGGTATCCAGTAACTCCTGACGGAAATAAGTGGTTCTTTAGCAGTTAACGCGTTATTGTTGTGCTCACCATACGTATTATATCACTGTTTATAGGCTTCCTGAAGCCGTGACAGGTGGAGGTTTGAAAACAAAAACAATGAAAAATGCTATAATGTTCTTTAGAGCTGTGAGGAGGTGCAGAATGTTGTAGAATTTTATATTGTATGCAATTAACATGTATAATTTTGCAGTTTTAAAATTATGTGAATGTTCTTTTGCTTACCTAGATAATAATAGTGAATTTTGATTTTCTTTTACAATGCAGTATTAATCTCCACATGCACTTATTCAATCCTCAGCATGTTGAACTGTGAGATTCCCTTTATGTACGTGCATGCTGGAGCTCTTGTTTAAAGCAGAAGAAACCCCAAACATCTTTCCTGACATTAAGTTTGACGACTTACCGTTAACAGTTTTTACATGCACTATTTATTAAAAGTCTGTGTTTGGCATTGCTAAGGGTGGAGTCTGCAAATCCTGATTAGGCAGCTGCTGCCGAGGCTGCAGAGTCCCTGAGCTGATTTATACATGTAAACAGAAAGCAGTACAATGTTTCATATCTAATTTAGCAATAATATAAAAAAATTACTGACTCAATTACATCCACAAGATGACAGTGAACTCTCTTAACAGTCTGTGGCTGCCTGAAGACATTCTCTGGAGTTACTTCATGTGTACACCATTTATTTAAGGCTATGAGTCACACACACTGTTGTATTCCCTCCCTTTTATTTCACACAGGATGTGATAGATTTTTTAAATTGATAACATGTGAATTGTGGATATTAAGGATAGCCCAGGAATTTCTTAGTAAGTATCCATAAAAGTCTTAGAGGTTTTTATTCTTAATTCTAAACTGTTTAAAACCACTACAACACTTGCATTTTCTTGTAAAGTTAGGATGGAGAATTTCCTCCTTTATAAATTGTATGGTGGATGATTTTCATAATTGATCAAACTGAATATTGGAAGTAGGTGTGTGGCCACTTTTATTTAGAAGTTATAGCCACTCATTTTCTGGTTTCTACTAATTTGAGTCTCCTAGCTGCTGTATTTGTACTATACTGTGGCATATACTGTAGATGTAGGTATGCAACTAGTTTTATGGCTTGCTGTGTTACAGAGACAATCTTAAGAAGTTTGTGCTTCATTTAAAATGTTTTATGGTTTCTGTTACATAACACTATTTAGGAGATATGTATCTATTCATCTTATTGATGTTACTTGGTAACCTACCTTCATTGTGATAGTTGATGATTTAGCACTGCACATGTTCTTTCAAAAATGGTGACATAAACAATGTGGCTTAAACCTTGGCATAACATAGAAACTTCAGAAAGTAGAGTCTAAAAACATTGGGCTATGTCATGGTGACTACATCCATGTTTTATAATGTGTATAATACAACCCATAAGCCTTGTTTGTTTGTTTGCTTGTTTTTTGTTTTTTTCCCAGTGATAGCAGTGCACTTTAGTGGCTGCGGCAGTTATGAAGTGAGAAAGTCAGGTGATGTGGTGCACAGAGCTGAATGAATGACAGTTAAGGTTGAGGAATGGGTGAATGGGTCAATAAAATGCCAGACTTTAATATAGAAGACTGTTGTTTGTTTACTGCAGTTCATTTCCTTGGTCAAACCCTCATTCAGTGTCTCCTAAAAGCAGTGTTTTCCAACCATTCTTATGGCACATAGGTGTGCCATGAGAAATGATCAGGTGTTCTGTGGAAGATTATTTGGTTTCACCTGACTGGTACACCAAGCGACCGGTGTGAGTAACGGGAAGAACAATTAAATTCTCTTCCACCAGAGGACAGTACAACATCTTGCTCCAATTTAATGGGTTACCAACTGCCTTTATAACCGAAGAAGACGAATAAAAAATTACTTAGTCATGCTGCAAGTGAGATAACTCAGCATGGAGTAGCAAAAGGTAAATATTTGAAAGGAAAAAGTAGTCAGTCTGACCTGGGTCCTGGAGAAAATTCCAACCCAGATGAAGGTGCTAGTGTAAGTAGTGGTCAGAATAAAGCAAAAAAGGTATACTGGGAGGAGACACAAATCCAGCCTCTGGGAGTCACAAGCTACTGCCAGGTCCAGTGATCAATGAGGAAAGAGGAAACCTTTATGGATACTTGTGATTAAGACTAAGAAAATAAGAGGAAATTCCTGCACCATCCTTACTAAATTATCATTTTTGCTTGGTGATGTGCCGTGTGATTTTTCTAATGTGAAATATGTGTGTGGGAAACACTGTTCAAGAGTATGACCACTCAACAACCTGTTTTTATTTTTGTAAACCTGATACTCTTCTTTCAAGTTGAAATGAAACTTAACTGATGTGAAAAATACTTGCTTTATTTGCCCAGTTCAGTAAGACTAATCCGTTGATACGGGTTATTTGACTTGGGTTGAAGGACTAGTTGGAGAGATTATAAGTCCCATATTTTGTACTGTCTGCTTCTTTAATTCCCAAGAGATCACCACAGTGGATAGATACACATGTTTATTCGGGACAGACTTTGTGCCGGATGCTCTTCCTGACATTTCTATTTGTGTGGACTTGGGACTAGCATTACATTGTGACTCCCATATCACCCTGGGTCAACACACCTGAATCAAATGATTAGTTCGTTACCAGGCCTCTGGAGAACTTTAGGACATGTTAAAGAGGTAATTTAGTCATTTAAATCAGCTGTGTTGCATCAAGGACACATTTAAAACCTGCAGGACACTGGCCCTTGAGGCCTGGAGTTGGACACCGTTGATCTAAATCAGGGGTAGGCAAATGGCTAAATTAGGTCCTCAACATGTCCTGAAGTTCTCCAGAGGCCTGGTAACGAACTAATCATGTGATTCAGGTGTGTTGACCCAAGGTGAGATCTAAAACCTGCAGG